TTCCCCCCCCCCCCCAATCTCTGTGACTGTGTATTTCATCAAAGAATTTTTTTCTTGTTGTTTTTTCATTGCTTTGATACAATATTGTGTTTTGGATTTCAGATTGAAATGTGTGTGTGTGTGTGGGGGGAGATCATTAAACCCCACCTCCTGCAAAACCGAGACCTAACTTTTGATAAGAATCTGAAATGCTCACTTCCATTTCAAGTTACTGGCTAAGGGAGAAGCGACAGCTGCTTTTTTTGGTATTCTGGGTCAGGATGATTAGTGGCACAGCTGGAAATCACTGAAGAAAGCCTGTTCATATAATGATTCCAAACTGGTTTTGCAGACCAGCCAAACCTATGTGGTTTGGATAGAGTATTTGTGGCTTTGAACTCAGTTCTGAACTTCTTGGAGGTAACCCATCACTCAGATAGAAGCAAAGTTAACAGGAAACTAATATTTTATTTGCATAACTGGCACATATTAATCTTCCTTAAAAGCAGAGAGAACATAATTCTTCACAGAAAGCATATTCATTATTTTTCTGGTCCTTATGGATAATACTAGCAGATGGTATCAGCAGTATCCCGTTAGTGTTGGCTCCGAGTTAGGTTTTGTTTTAATTCATCTCTTTTATTTCAGTGTCAGCTGTACATGGTAACTGCTGGTCAAATCATCATTTGCTGTGAAATTGTCATCTATTCAATGATCGATTATTTACATGTAACTTTGTTTTATTTTTCACTACAAAGCCAGGTGCAATGCTCTCGTAATTACCATGGAGGATTCTCCAATAAATTATTCTTCCCGTTCCACACACAATGGGACCATGTGGTTCAACAGAGAATTCTGTACCACAGTAAAGCAGCTTTTAAAAGAGACTTTGATGAAGACTGTATTGTGTTTTCCAAACCTGACTCAGAATGCGATTCTTCATTTGTTCTTTGGTGGGGGAGATGCTATTGAATCAAGCGTTATGGTTTGATACTGCTGTTGTTTGTTCTGCTTATAGTTCTTTCAGAAAATTACCTTTATGCCACATGACTTTATTATTTTACTATTTATCTGTAATGTATGTATATAAATCTTGCAATGGCAAATGCCACAGACCGCTACTTACCAAACCTGTTAACTGATTAAAAAGTAGTTACATTTGGAATAAGAAGTTGAGAGGAGGGAAGGACAAGAGGCAACAGCACAGGTGGCGGAAGGCCGGGACTAATGGGGCTCAGCCCCCCAAACATGGGGCAGCGGGTAGGGCCGCAAGGCAATCCAGCCACGGGCTCCAGGTGGCTGTACCAGGGTGAGGAGGGTTTGCTCACATCCAAGATTTCAGCCCAGCATGTGGATCACTGGCTGCCCAGCAGGGCAGGCAAGTACCAGTCGATTCTGTGAATAGGAAGGGGCTGGCAGGGGGCCAGATTGAAGCCCCTGCTGTGAAGGAGGGACTGGGGCTGGGGCTGGGGCTGGGGCTGGGGCTGAGGTGAGTGGGGCCATGGCTGGCCTGGGTGTTGGGAGAATTGGAGCCTGGGTGGCTCATCCAGGGGTCCAGGGGGGGGTGCTGCTCCGGCCACTATGTGCACCCCGATGGAGGCCCAGGGTGGGGAAAGTTCCCCCCAGTCTGTTTTCAGGTTGGAAGCAGATGCCACTGGATGCTGGGCTCTGTACACCACTGCAGCTGTCCTGGGAGCAGCGTGACATCACATGCCTGCTGCCACTGGGCTGTGCCATGACCACTGCCTACCTGGCAGTGGGACGCATTTGGTGTTGCGTGGCTTTCAAGGCATCGGGACACAGAGCCCAGCACGCAGTGGCAGCCACCTCCACCCCGTGCACAGATCGGGGTGGCACATGCCCACTGACCCCCCCATCAGGGTACACACAGCAGAACAAGCCTCCACCTCCCCCCCCCATACCCCTGGATGAGCTGCCTGGGCTCTGATTGCCCCAGCACTCAGCCCCGCTGGGGTCCCATTCATCCAATCACCTTCCCCTACCCCACTGCCTCCCACACTCATGGGGCTGCAATCTGCCCCATGGCCATGGTCCTTTCCCCTTCCCCCACTCCTTCCCCCACAGACTTACCTGCTGGGCAGGTGGAGGGGCACATGCATGAGCACACACAGAGACACCGCAAATAATTTTTTCTCCCTCCTCCTATGGGCAACAGACTATCCTGTGAGCCTCTGGATTTTTCACTGGGTGAAAGATCCAGCTCTCTGCTCTCCTCTACCTTCCAGAAAAAATCCTTTCTTCTTCCTATCCAGAGTGAATCATCACGTCCCAGCCAGACGGTATTCATCTGCCATGAAATACTCTGCACTTTGGAAAAGATGGGGAAGGAGGAAAAAGATAGTCAATTACGACAGAAGGGACTATCTTTCTCCTCCTTAGCTAGTGGAACAAGGAAGCTGACTTCACTGCTATCTAGACAACACTGTAAAATGTAATGTGTCTGGGAAATCTGTAAGATACTCAGGTGAAGGAGGGTTTCTGTCAAACCCGAGCAGAATTAAGGATATTTGGAAAATAGGAATGTGATATTTTACACATGCATATTTATGCAAAACTATCCTGCTATTCATGAGCATAATTATTAATTTTCATTCTTATAAATTAAAAACATTTTTTTCCTAATTTCTTGGTTTAAACATATAAAAGTGTATGCAACAAGTGTTAGATGGTGTGATGAATGGGGATCATAAAGTCCTTAAGTGCATAGACATCGACCATACTTTAAAGATAACTGACTTTTTACCTGTTGATTAATTGTTACCTTGGGCAACATATTGAGAATCTTACTCATATTCTATTCCTGCTGAGTTCCATCTGACTATTATTATGGCTGGTAAAGTTACGATCTACCATAATTCATTCAAAACGTATTGTTAGGAAAAAAAGGCTCTTATTGGCAAATTAAAGGAAAGGATTAACACTCAAAGACTAGTATTGAATGTTGTTTGTCAAAGAAGGAAGAAATGAAATATTATATAGCAATGAAAATCCAAAATTATCAGCTTCTTTAGCAAGGCATCAAGTATGATAGCAGTATATCTGCCAACTTTTGCTTTTAATCATATAATCACCATGTAGACATTTTATCCTGATATCAGGAGCACTGCGTCTGTTATCTCAGTGGTTTAAAATTGCATTAAAGTGCCCAATTAAATAAAAATAACTACTTTTTACCCTCTGAAAATTACAGTGCAAGTTGAACTCCTAATGACTGCATTGCTGCAGGCTTCTCAGGGTATTCACAGGAACTTCTAAGAGACTGGATATCCCTACTCAAAGAATTAGCCCTGGAACTTTGCTTTATTAATTTTAACATCCTGTGAAATGCAACTTTGTCCTTGTCTTGGTGACATTCATCAAATATTTACCAAAATTTCTCCTTCCACCTCATCTTTCTATGTCACTGATGAAACATTAAAATGCTGTCCAACAGTGGCATATTTATAAGTGTGGGCTCTGAAGTCATTACTGTGTCTTGAAACGTAGGCATCATTTTGCAGTTCCTCCCAAGTTCTCTGTTGAGACATTCATGGATATTTTAAAACCTGTTCTAAAATCCTTTTCCTTCCCAACATTTCTGCTGCACTCATAGAAGCACTGGATGCAAGCAGAATGCTGGGTGGTTCATTGTATATGTTCAGTGATCCCAGAGGTATAACTGGTCAGCGGGCACTTACTGGTCCTGCACGCTGCACCTTCCCTGCAGCAGCTCCAGCTCAAGTAGCAAGGAAGATGAGGATAGAGGTGCAAGAGGTGTCCCTGCTGCTACAGCTGGAGCTGCTACAGGGATGGTGCAGGGTGTGGGGAAGGGTAAAGACAGTGCAATGCACCTAGCTCCATTCTGGTACTCTCCACCTTCCTTGGGCAGTATTGGGGCTCATACCCTTAGGGGCTCATGCTCCTTCTACCCATCTGTATGCTATTGAATGTTCACATTGGGCATGTCTACATTTGATGCTATACCACTGTAGTAACACATTATGGCAACATAGTGTCAGCAGGCGAAAACCATGACATCACTGCTACGTTGCCACAGTGATACACTTCCTTGGTATAGTACATCACTATGGCGACATAGGGCCTAAAAATAACCATACACTGCAGGCACAGCACAGTACAGGCTGTGCAGTAACAATGGTGCCAAAGGGGCACATGTGGAGGTGCCCACTGTGAAATTAAAAGAGAGTCCTTGCTTAATTATTTTGCTGCACAGGGATGGAGTTAAGCATATGTTTGAAGATAAGTACATGCACAGCAGCTTTCCTGAATCAAAATCATGGTCACCATCAACAGATTTTTAAGAATATTAGGAAATAAATATTGTTATGCCATCTAAGGATAATTGATCAGGTGTTCCAGCAAAGGCCACAGTAAGGTTGATAGATAGGTAAGTATAAAAGAGTTAATGAATAACAGGATAAAATGGAAAAAAGAATAATGAGACTGTATAGCAAGAGTAAGTTCCTAATAATAATGTGCATTAGTCAATTAAATTATCTCCTACAGGAAATAAAAGGTACAATAAAAGATTGCATAAGGTACTAATAAATGGATTATAGTGAAAAATAGTGGTCTTACACACAGAGGCCACTTCCAGATGAGCAGGGGCATGGAGTTTGTGGCACCACAAACCTTTTTGTGGCACCACAAACTGCACACAGTGATTGTGAAAACATTTGCTATGAGAATTTCCCAGTAGGTGAAAACAGCTCCAGGAAAAAAATGCAGCTTGGAGCATGTGACTGGAGTATGCACCTGAAGAAATGGCAGCTTGGTTCTCCAGTGAAATGCACTGGCTGCCAGCCAGAACATCTCTACTCCTTCAGTTGTGTCCCGGCTCCTCCTTCTGCTGGTTGCCAGAAGGAGTCAGGTAAGGGCAGTTTGCCTGAAGTGGGACAATTTGTCCCCTAACAAAGTGCACGTGCAGGGGTATGTGCTGAGGCAAAAAGTAGTGGCACAAATGTATGCCTCTGCAAGTTCACATCCCTGCACATCTGGACGTGGCTAGAGAGTCTAAATAAGTTAATAAAGCTATTGCATTTAGTAACTTGTAAACTGTTTCTATGACTCAGATACTGTATAGCACAGTCTGTCTGTCTGAGATTTTTAATAGGTTTATTTTAACAGGCCTTTCCTGTGATTTGTGTTTCTGATATGAACAGCAATTACCCAGCTAAGTAATGAGACTCTAATGAACATGTCTTTCCTAGATTACTTTAGAAGTTCATCAGAGAAGCCTGATAGTATTGTAAAACTAAAATCTGCTTTTTCCCCTCAAGACACATTTGATTGTTCTCCTAAGTACTTTCCACAAGAGTAATTGAGAACTGGAAAATAAACGTAAAGGGGGAAAAAAGTAAATTAAAAAAAACCCACATGTACACTATTTTTGTTATTATTTAACTTGCACATATTGCCATGGATGTGCATAGAGAATGAGATTCCTGATTGTGCAGATGTTCTATCAAGGGGCATGCACCAGTAAATTTTACTTGAATCCTCAGAAGTTGGCTAAGTGTTGGCACACAGGCTGTCTACATAAATGTGAGTGTCACCCAGTGAATAAAAAACTGAGAAAAGTTATGTCCCCATGAGATACCCTGATCCAGGAGATTTACCCTGATGTATTTAACCTATGAGAATGTAAATAGATATATAGTTTGTTCTTGGCCTGCTTATATATATATATAGTATAAATATAGATTGATATATGTATAGTATAGGACTGATATATCCATATATCTTATATTATAGTATAGGATATGATATAGTATAGGATATATATAGGATATCTCCTAGGATATATATAGTATAGATATAGTATAGGATTTGATATATGTATAGTATAGGATTGATATATGTATAGAATATACTATATCAATAGTTTGTTCTTGGCCTGCTTATCTATATATGTATACTGTAAATATCTCTAAGAAATTCTCTCGGAGAGAAAAATCAGTTCTGTGCTGAAGTCCAGTGCAAGGGGCATGAGCCAGTCACTTTTAGTGCAATACCCCTGTAACTTTCAGTGCTGTTTTTCTCTTAGTTCAAGTGGCAGTATCATATCATATTCAAGATAAGGATTCTGGTCCAAGATATGTGTGCATGCTTTACATAGGAGTGCTGCCTGTAGCATATGGGTCACATCACTACCAGGTACCATACAAATAAGAGTGCCTAGTTAAGTGACACCCATGCTGGCCTCCTGGGCCTCCTGGGAGACTGCTCTGATACACTGTAATTACAGCACATCAGAGCAGACCCAATTAGTCGAGTCAGCTGGAGCATCTCATGTATCAGTATTGCTGTGCTTCAAAATGGTGGCAAGGGCACTTTAACTAAGGCTTGTCAAATGAGCTTTAGTTCAAGCACCTCTGCCACCATTTTTAAAGTGCCAGGACACTGATACATGAGATGCTGTGGTGCTTTAATAAGAGCGGTTCTCAGAGCTGCTCTAAGTGAAGCACCACCCTGGGAAGCACATGTAAAAATGCCCAAGCTTTCTCTGGTAATGCATGTATTATACAGTGTAGACAAAGCTGGTGGCACTCTGTCTTAATCAGGTTGCCCAACATGTTTATGATCATATTCTTCTTTTTTGCTTGCTAATTGTTATGCCCAACTTTAACCGTGTGGGTAAAACGTTCCTGTGCCAGTTATCTAATGCAGGGTATTTTGTGCTTCTGTTGTTGCTTTCATTTGTGGCAATTTTGGGTGAAACATTTGAGTCTGTTCAGGAATTAGGATAGGGAAACAAGAGATTGGGGAGGGAAGTGGTACATGGAAGTGGTGGGATATTGGGAGCCAGTGGATGGAGGGAACACTAGGAGTTGACAAGGGGTGACTGGGACTGGAGATTGGCCTTAGGAGGCGGTAGCAGGGAAAAGCATATGGAGGAAGGGAAGACCAGCCCAATATGGAGCAAGGATGCAGGAATGAAGTTAAGTCACTGAGCAAAGTGATTGGTAGAAGGACTCTGTGGCTGTGTCTACATGTGTGCTTTTATGTGCATTAAACTATTTTAATGTGCATTAAAGCATCACTGAAAAATGTGCTATTTAGTCAATGCACATTAAAATAGGCTAATGCACATTGAACATCACTTAAAAACCATACTCTTTAGTTAATGCACATTAAGGCAGGCTAACGTGCATTTTCCAAGTATCTTACTATGGCATGGGCATTTATGCACACACTTTTTCATCCTGTGATGCACCAGAGATCCAGTGGGTCAGAGCAGACTTGATTAATCAAATCCGCTCTGCCCACAAGCCGTTGCATTCTGCACTGCTTTGTGTGCAGTTGTATAAGTTGTCAGCTTGCAGAAAATGGCAGTGGTGCACTTTTGAACTAAAACACCCCAATGTGTTTTAGTTCAAAAGTGCACCACTGTCATTTTCTCAGTGCGGACACACATTTCGCTACTTATACAATTGCATGCTCCGCAGCACTGGTCTGTTTTAAAATGCCCAGAGGTATTATATTTAATGTGCATTAACTAATGCATGTGCCCTCTTTTGTGGGAGCAAGGGGCATTGATACTAGCTAAAGAGCCTGGGAACTAGGAAGCAGCAGAGATGGAAAACTTGGGTGGGAAGAGGGGAATTGAACTTTAAGGAGAGGGAGAGAGATTAGGTAAAAAACCAGGTGGAGAAACAGAGAGTGGGCTACTGGGTGGACAGATAGTGGTACAGGGAGGCTGAAACAGTCAGTCTGTGTAGACTGAGACTTGCTGAGTAAGGAGAATGACACTGGCTGAAAAGCTTAACAATCAAAAGCTTGGACTGGCCAAGTGTGGAGAATGAGATGGCGATAAGGAGCCAGGGGTTGACAAAGGGCAGAAGAGGGATAGGGGCATAGGGGGCGGGGGGGGAGGGGAAGCTTAGGGGGCAAGGCAAAGGCGATCATGCTGGGGGCAGCCACAAGATAGAGAGAAGAGTCTATACTCATTTCAACACTTAGTCCTCCAGAACCTGAAATGGAAAACATTATTCCTGAGCTTCATTATGCCTCTGCTGTCAAAAATGCCTATGAAACCAGTTGACCAAGTGCTTTAGCTGTCTAATGTGCTGGGATGCACAGAGGATTGCAACCTACTATTGCTATCTGTCTGTAAGCTCAGTGGCAAAGGTCTGTGTAGTAGATCTAAATTTTCTAGCTCTTGTGATGAATGATTTGGGTGCCAATGAAAAGGCACGTGCTGAAATTCCTTGGTTTTTGCTTTTTCTTTTCAGTTTGATGTAAAAAAACGTATACCCCAAACTACTTAAAAAATCATTATTAAGGTTGCAATGTTAGTTACTCAACAGTTACAATCTGCTGAGCATAAGGTTGTCTATGACATCTTAATTCCATTCCTGTGGGCATAAAAGTTATAATATAGGCTCTCTTTAAAGACTGGATGTTATTTTTCTTCATAGGACCCCTGCTGTATTCAGTGCACAGGGTGGACTAGTTGTAGGACTGGGGGATATGCAGTGAAAGAAAATGATGTCTATGAACCCCCTTCTTCACTGGCAGAAGAAGTCAGTAAGAGTGTAGTAAATGAGCTGGGGGGATTGCAGAGAGAGGAAGGACAGTCTCATGGTCAAGGTAGCTGAACGCTGCCCTAGAGAATTTGGTTTTCTTCCTGTCTCTGCCTCAGAGCTCCTGTGGATTGCAAAGCTAATCACTGAAAACAAACATTTCAAAGATGAACACAAGCTGCGCGGTCCTCATGTTCTGGTGCCTGAATATGAGCCTGATTTGCAAAAGTGCTGACCACTCACAGCTACAAATGAAGTCAACTGGTGCCATGGTTTGAAGATATAAAGCACCACGCATGCTACACTAAATATTCTGAAGAGTCAGGGCCTTGCTGTCCAAAATTGGGCATCAATTGTTCGTTAATGTATTTGACCTTAACGTCTTTGTGACTCATCAAGAGCATTGTGAAAATAAATCCATTAATGTTTGCAAAGCTCCTGCTTACTTTAGTGGTGAGTGCCACTGGAAGGGGGTGGGGGGGGAGAGAAGTAAGAGGAAATGAATCATTCTTCCTTCTGACTAGTGTAGGAATAATATGTGGTGTCTAAAACATATGGCCACGCATTGAAAAGGAGGATAATACAAGATTTTGGTTAGATACTCATTAATTTAGCACAGTCTATTTTGCACATTAAATTGGTCAGGGGTCCACTGGAAAAAACAACACATGGGTATGTAATTCAAGACTGTATCTTAACGCATACACACAGGGAACCCAATTACGGCTGGACAGGTGACGTTAATTCTGCCATTTCCTAACTTTAACGTTCCTAACTTTGCAACATCATATTCTTTGAATGTAATTTGTATGTGTTTGTATAATTTTATATGTGTATAAACTTAAGTGTCAGAAGGAACTTCTACAAAAAACTCACAACTACTGAATAGCAATTAATGAACAACTGCATTTGGTGTCAGTTTGTATATATGTACTATCTGACTGAACTGTGCTAATTCTGAAGTGTCCATAATATTAAACTACCCATATAATTGGACACAAATACTAAAGGCTTGCTAAGAAGATACCTAGATTGCTATTATTAGTTCTTAGAATATGAGGGAAATTAGAAGATTCTGCAGAAGTGCTAATATTGCACCAATATTCAGAAAGGAACACTTTAGGCCAATAAGCCTGAAATCAGTCCTAGGGAAAATAACAGAAAAACTCATATAGGAATCTTTTGATGAAAACTTAAAGGATTGGAATAGAATTAGTGTAATTCAACATGGTTTTATTGAAAATAGTTCTTGTCAAACAAATTTGATTTCATTCCATAATGAGATTACAAGTTTGGTTGATAAAGGAAGCTGTGTAATAGGTTGGATAAAATGTCTGGTTTGGTTGAACATGACAGTCTGATTAAAATATAGCATTCACCATATCAAAAGAGGGGGAAGATAAATTTATTAAGAATTGTCTAACCTGCAACACTCAAAAAGTATTTGCCAAAGGGAAATCATTATCAAATGAGTTTCTTCTATGGAGATTGTGCCAGGATGGCTACTCAGCTCCATACCATTCAGCATTTTGATAAATGATGTCAAAATAAATACAGAATCACTGGTGAGAGAATTTGCAAATGACATAAATTTCAGTGAAGCTGTAAATAATTCTGATGACAGTACAACTATTCAGGACAAGTTGAACTATTCGAAGCTAAACCTAGACAAACCAATGGCTGAGATCCTAATTCACCTCTGACATCTCAGGGCCCAGTTCTGTTTCACCAGATAAGATGACTGAAGTGCATCTTGTGAGCAACTCCAAGTTACCCAACCTGTGCAGATGGGGATAGGGTTTGCAGCGAGGGGAGCAGGGGGAGTGCAGTGGGGATGGGGAGATATATGGATGAGACCAGGTGGATGGAGGAGATCTATGGTGTGCAGCCTTGGAGGAGCATATGCTCTGCCCCCTTGCTGCCTCCCCCCCCCCAACAGCCACTTGCCCCCCTCTCTCCACGACTTACTGTCAGCTCTGGCTCTAGCCCTGACCCAGCTGAGCCTTGAATTGCCACCACTGGTTCTGCCTGGCCAAGGTGGGCCAGGGCTGGGGTTGGGTTTCATGCCAGGGCTGAGGCTGTTGATGGCCCCAGAGACACCGCGGAAGGTAAGCATGGAGTGCAAGTGGTGAAGGGAGCAGGGAGTGTGGGGGCAAGCAGCAGGTGAGGCAGGCACAGGAGGAACAGGAGAGGGGGGCAGGTACAGGCATGGAGGGGCCAGGAGGGAAGGGGCAGGAGGCAGGTTGCAAGGGTGTGGTGGGGGAGCAAGTGGCAGAAGGGGCAGACACTTAGGGTGGGAAGTGGGAAGGGAGCATGTGCAGGTATGGTGGGAGAAGGGATATATGGGAGAAAGCATAGGGGTCTGGTCTCCCCTGCTCCCCCCCCCCCCC